TAAACAGATATTTGTTACTTGGCAAAGTATTTCATCAGTATTTGACTTTGATATTGAATATATTAAAGGTAAACAGAATTCATTACCAAATTTTCTCACCCGTGAATATTTATAGGGCTCAGCAACCTCATGACCAGCAGAGGTCGGGGTCGTCGAGGCCATGGCAGGGGTTCGAACCCATATCAAACAGAATTCCCAAGGCTGCAAGCCTCCAACAATAAAGGTGAATCCAATTAAACGGTTAAGGATATTCTCCTTAAACTTGAATAACAATATATCGCTAACAGTATTACTGAGGAAACAGTCCTCTATATTGAATTAGCCAATGAACAGTGGATGTCCGATCCATGGGAAATTAATCATAGATATCTTACCACGCAACAATTTCCTCCTCATTTTGACCAGTATCGTTATGTCTATGAACATATACTTATTGAAACTGCTGCCGCAGAGATCAAGCACACTTTGCACGATCCTTCCAAAATAGCTAGCCCTATTCAATATAGCAAAATAACTATCAAAAACATTATGCCCATTACCACATGAGGCTTCCATTCGCATACAAATCGCCAACTTGACATTTGCAACAGAGAAACCCGATACTGTTATTGAGACTATATCGATGCGTTTACTCAAACATTTTACTATCATAGTCCCATTAACAACCATTCTTAGTTTATCCGTATTTGCTCGGATGTTCTAAAAAATGATGTCCCTTCTTGGTTCCTTATTTGTTGGGATAAATTTGGGTTACAGTTAGAAGTTTTACCAGTGCCAATCAGGGAAGCCTATAATGAGTGGCATATTGCATATTCCCATTTACCAACAAATAAGGATATCTCTATTACAAAATCCTTAGTCCATTTCACAATCTGTTTTGGTATTCCATGGATTTGGAAATGGGACTTTCAGTGTGATTATCAGAAAAAGATCCTATGTCTCAAAAGGGTTTTCTTTGTGAGATGGTGGGATAAGGGTATGAACCCTACTCTACCAGAAACTGTCCAGAAAATCAAAGCACATTCTCAGGCTTGTTGGGATGCTATTCCAAAAACTATTCCCAGCCAACCAGTTACTCAAAATTCGTTTTTACAAATCCAAATAGAATTACGACAAAAATATCCTAATTTGTCAGAAACAAAATTAATTATTAAAAGTATGGATCTCGTGAAGGAACAATTTCTTCAAACACTCTCCAGTGATGATACGTTCATGAAATCTGTTACCAATAGTCAAGATCATGAAGATCCCGACCTTGACCAGGATGAAAATGAATTTGCTATTTTAGCCGGAGAATCACAAGTACCAGAAGATGACGAACCCAACTTTGGTGATTTTTGGGATTCACTTACCAGTATGATTGCCGACAAAATCGACAAAGAAAATGATAAAAAAGGTAAAGGCAAATCATGATAGGCTTTGTCCCCTACCAGTAAAACAGTTGGCATAAGATGACAAAACCAGTATAACCACTTTCTACAAAAGAAGATAAGATGCTGACTCAAAAGAAGATGCCCTGTCTGCCATCTATCCACAACCAGACAAAGATGATAAGATGCTGACTCATTAAGGATAAGGACGATCGACTCCACTCCATTAGGACACACCACCTGTCCTCCTTGTATCTTATCTTTTTCATTTTCATGTCTATAAAAGGGACCTCACCCTTGCTGAGGCAGAGTGTCTGTGTTTTAAAGAATAAGTTTTTAAAATTCCAAGTGTTACTGGTGTAAGGTCTCTTTCTCATCTTGTAAACATTTCTCCAATGTATAAATTAAGTGTTAAAGAATTAAGCTGCTTTGAAGATTGTGATTGTAAGTATTTCTTTCTTTAATGTATGCCCTCTGTAAATTTACTTGTTGATTTATTAAATGTTTTAGAATTTTATAATACAGGTCGTAATAATTATATAACAGTTCTTTAAGATCCGTATCTTCAGCCGTTATCTTAAATTAGACTTAGACAGATGTTTTTATATTTCAAATTGATAATAAACAAATCCAAAGGCCTTTGTTTGGAGAGTGATTGAAATAGTGAAAAAGTAATTATAAGTTATTGCATCACTCAGGCTAGAAATGAACCAAGCTGTTCGCGAGCTTGGCTTGGCTGATTTTTAGACTCGCTTCGTAAACCAACTAAGCTCGAGCTCGAATAATTTCAGATCATTAAGTTCGACTCGTTTATTTTTATTTAATTATAAATAATATTTTTTTTAGACAACATTATTGAAGATAACATAGTCAAATAATATATTATTTATATATTAAAATAATATAAATTATTTTTTTATTTAAATTTTTATTTAATAATATAAATAATAATTAGAAAAATTCATTATCAAGTTTCGAGCTGAGCTCGAGCTCGACTAATATTAACGAGTCAAGTTGAATTTGAGCTTGATTAGTTATCGAGACGAGTTCGAATTGGATAATCGAGCTCGAAAAACAAATGAGACAAATTCGGCTTGGTTCGGTTTGACTCGTTTGTAACCTGACACATTATTCTCTATTTTTTCACACAACATCTCATAAAAAGTTAAAAACTATTAAAGTAGTCAATTTCCAAATAAGTCAATGTAACTAAACATGCCCCGATTATTAGTCTATGTTAAAGCCGGCTAAACTTCGTCTTTAACTTGCTTATAGAAATGTGTTATAAAAATATATTTGAAAAAGAATAATGATATAAATAAAAAATAAATATAGAATGATATGTTAAGTTGTGAGTCAATCACTTTAAAATAAAATAAAAAACTCATCTTTATATTTTATTCACAAAAAGACTATTACCATGTTTATTCTTCTAGGTTTTATTTTATTGTTTTATTTATTTATTTATGTTTACAAAAGGTTCCATTGTATCAATTAATGTGATCTTCGCATTTTCATGTCTATTAATAAAAACTTGGTTAACGTTTTACATTACTTAATATATTTTCATATGAACATCTCAATGTGAAATGTTTATGAAAATCAAATATAGGATCAGACACACAAAAAAAAAAAAAAAAAAAAAAAAAAAAAAAAAAATAGGATCAGACACACAAAAAAAAAAAAAAAAAAACAAAAAACAAAAAACAAAACAAGGGTGTGGATTAAATTTTTGATAAGTGAATTTTTGATAGGTCTATAGATCATTGCTTGATGGTAAGAAAAAAATGATAAAATTAAAATTAGACTTAAAATTTTTAGAGTTAAAATTGTTTGATTGGAAACAATAGAAATAAGAATAATGAATTTTAAAATTTTATCTTGATGAATTTAAAATAACAAATAATAAAAATACACTACGCCAATAACGGCGATTTTTTTAACGGCGGTAACGAAAACCGTCATTAAAGGTACTATTAACGGCGGTAACGAAAACTGTCGTTAAAGGTATCATTAACGGCGATTTTGTTACCGCCGTTAAAAAAACCGTCGTTAATGCCCACTTTTAACGGCGGTAACAAAACCGCCGCTAATGCCCAATCATTACCGCCGTTAATGACGGCGGTCTTTGCCGGCGAAACTCCGGCGTGCTCCGGCGAACTCCGGCGAAACCATCTACAATAAAGTAAAAGTAATGTTTAAATATTTATTTAGGGAATATATTTCATGAAGAGTGGCTATGGTAGAGTGGTTAGTGTGGGTGGATGAGAGGTTGAGGGTTCAAGACTTGGGGAGTGCGAGAAGAAAGAATTATTTTTTGAAAAATTTGAACCTATTTACGGCGGTAAAAAACCGTCGTTTTTGGTCGACTTTTAACGACGATGATTTACCTTTTTACGACGGTTGTACTTTTCTGACACGCGCATAAACGGCGGTAACAAAACCGCCATTAAAGGCTTTAACGGCGGTTTTACAGCCTTTAACGGCGGTAAAAAACCGCCGCTAAAGCCCAATTTTGGCGTAGTGATAGTTATTTCAAATTATTAAGGAAATTTAACGGCTAAAAATGCATCGGATGATACTATAAAAATAACGAACGACCAACTCCATCCTACCGTCGGTGTCAATTGGCTACTGACAAAGAATTATAATTTGTTATTTTAGGAAGAAAAAAATATTTGTGGTATTGAACCCTAAGAAAATCTAGGACATTTTTGTTTACTTTATTTTTCATATTTAAAAATACAAAATAATAAAAAATTTGGAAAAACTCATAATTTGCACATTGTTTTCATTCTTTCTTGAAAGATAATTTTTGAAAACCTAAAAACAGCATTTTTGTATTTTCTAAAAAGTAGGTTAGCTTTCAAAAAAAAAAAAAAAATTTATACAAAAACTTTCAAAAGTAGTTTGTCAATTTTTATTTTTTTTAAATTTTTTTTTCTAAAAATTCAAATATATATATATATAAATAAACAACTCGTCTCTAAATTTGTTTTTTTTTTATAACAAAAATTTATAAATTCACCACTGCATATTTAGAACAAAAATAGTTTGCCCGAATATAAAAAAAATAAAAAAATAAAAATTCTTGATTCAAAAAGTGATTGTTTTAACACTATTTTTATGTGCACACAAATCCCGTTTTTCATGGCAGAATTGAATTTTATGGACTTTTTTGTTTGGGATGATCTAAATAAGTGTACTTTTTGTCTTTTTACGAAAAGATGTGCAGAAAAGTAGAGAGGTGATCTGATGAAAAAAAGATAAAAAGATAAAAAGATGGATTATTTACAACTTCCCAAACTTGGCCTTAGATTCTCTCCAATCTAAACTATTGACTGAAAGATGTTGTTCAAATCCATGAAGTTCATCACGGATCTCGTTTCAATAATTCAAACAATTTATTTTGTCGAGTCCTTCGTATATATCATTTAAAAAAAGAAGATTAATCCGATAATTGAAAGTTAATCAATTTATTGCATTTAATTTTTAAAAAATCATTTTTTGTGTGTAAATAATATACAAGAAGAATTTAACAAAATGAATGATTTGATCGAAACGGACTATAGTGAGTGGTCTTAAATGGGCCCTAATAGCGTCCCATCATTGAGATCATACACTGGAGGATTATACTTGATTTGTCCGAGCATCTCCACTAGGCAATCCATTGTGTTTGATGGATTCAAGCAAAGCATAAATGTCCAAGAAATCAGAATGCTTGTGAACATACTTTCCACGGCCAAAACAGGTAGGGTGAAGACAAAAGCTCTTGGGGTCACAGCTGAAACATTTGACACAAGTGAAATACATTCCCACAATCAACTTTCTGCAACAACCACACATTGGCCTCCCACTCTGTATTATGTAGTAGAGCATCTTGACATTGTCGAAATCAAGCTCTCCATTTTTGTTCTTGTTGATTTCTTCGAAGAATGTGGGATTGTTCATGGCTTCATACCCTTCTTCTCCCATTAATCCTGCAAACTCGGTTAGGCTTGCTTTTCCATCTTCGTTATCATCCATTTTCTTGAAAAACTCCTTCGCCAATTTCCTAGCCTTTTTGGGCATGGCCTTGTAGTAGACTTGTGCAGTCTCTCGTATCTCCTCCATCGAATGGTTTTTATTTTGTATGCAGAGTGTTGTGAATTTTATTATATATATATATATTTTAAAAACATCATTAGCAAAAATGGATTTTTATAGCTAGTAGGATCGAGATCATATTAATTAAGGGGTTATTACACCCAGTGGTGTGAGAAATAAAAAATAAATACATATATGAAAAATTTTATAATCTTAATTATTAATATATATATATATATAATTTTTTTTTATTAATTTGTAATTATTTTTCTAAAATGTCACTGATGTGATATTTCCAATTTAAGCTGATCACAATCATATGTAATTAATTATTTTTCTAAAATCTCGTTGATGTGATATTTCCCATTAAATTAATTAAGCTACTTTTTTTTTATATATATTTTGAAAACGGCCCAACGGAGAGCTTGTACCTAGTTCCACCAACGTCATAGCATTTAATGAATGGATTCCTCACATCAGCATAGTACACCAAAAATCATGGCATTAATGAATTAGATTCCCCACAGCAGCATAGTACACCAAAAGTCAAGGCATTAATGAACTGGTATTATTATTATGTTCTATTTAAATTATGCATATATGGTCACAGTACATTCATTATGTCTTCCACCGAACCTTCAGATATAACAACAGTAGCCAATACAGTAGCTTTTACATCAGAAGCAACAGAACTAGTTGCATATTAAGATGTCAAGGAAGCCTTAGACAAGTGGATTATCCCAAATGTAAAACCAGATACAATTTATAAAATTTGAACATTTGATTTCTCTAGCAAAAAGATAATTAAAACTTTTGAGCATGCAGTACCACTACAGAATAATGATGAAATCATTAAATTACTTCATGTCTAGGATTTAACACCTTTTTTTTTCCCCAGAAAATATAAATATATCCATATAGGATTAGTATAGATAGCTTTTAAACCTTTGACCTTGTTAGGCCAAAATACCAGTATTCAGTGTACCCTACGAGATGTAGGTGTCTTGATTGGAAAGCTTTCCTTATAGGAGCTATTGAAACCAGTTTATCATATGGACCAGTATATTTCAACATTTATCCTAACCTGAGTGCAGCACTCATGGACCCAAATTTATCAGAAGTATTAGAATTAAGAGTTCTTACTCATGGTTATCAATATTTACCAGGAACACCCCCTTTATCTGCAATTTTTAGGATTCACATAAAGGTTTTGACAACTCTAAATCCTTATACCAGAAAACAAAGCAAATTAAGACATACTGTCTTAATTGACATTAATCTTTTTAGCAGTCAGGTAACTGTTCCAAGAATGATCCCTTGGCAAAACATTACCTTTCCAGATACATGGCATATTCCAAATGAGGTTCCAACTAGACCAGTCATTAGACAAACCATTAGCTAGGTTGTATAGACTCAAGAAGGTAATATATACCTTAATTTTCGGCGACCTCTAAGCCGAAGCATGTCTAATACTAGCTTTAGAACTACTCTTCCTTATCGAGTAGATTTACCAGACTCATCCCGACAATCTATTTTAGATTCTATTGAATCAGTTATACAAAGAATGCCTTCCAGACAGCCTAGTCAGACACCTAGTGATCCACTTGCAGATCAAGTTATTTAGGGTATTCACATATCAGAAAATCAGATACCTCATGGAGTATATGAAACCAGAAGGCCTTACAGCCTAATCGCTAGTGAAGTGAATTTTGAAGTTTAATGGATTTTTCTCCAAGAAGTAAGCTTAGGAGACAACTAAACCAGGATTTTATGCAATCTAAATATCAAGAATTTAGTATATGGTATTTTAACAACCATACTTACCAACAACTAGAAACACTAAAGCAACAGTATTATTTTCATTTAGACAAAAATCAGATACTTAGGTCTTTTCTAGAATGGTATTTTGAGTTTGCCATTGTTATGGAATTACTACCGGAACACTAACTTAATGTTCTAGATAATCTATAGAAAACATGGCTGACAACTGATGGACAAAGTATTAAATCCATCCATCCACCTCCACAATCATTAGAATTATCACTAAGCGTAGATTCTTGCTCCAGTAGCCCTTTAGTCATAACTACCTTTGTCAAACCACCAGACACCACAACTGAAAAACGAGAATTTGCTCAAGCCAAAGATCTCATCCTGATAATTAAACAAAATAATTATACGAATCTTTATTTTCAAACTATAGGCAAACAGTTGACCAGAATTGAAGAATCAGTAGGAGAATTAGTACAAAACCAAAAGATACACTCTACACCAAATCTCCCTATCCAACTAGTGAACATTAAACCCCCTCTTAGAGGTAACAAATTTTAAACTTAGATCTACTAAACAGGATAATGAATTCATGGACACCCTTATCTAGAAAATAAAAAGCATTAATATAGGATAATCCTCTAGCTCTCAGATAAACATGCTTTCTGCTCACCAACCAGACAACCTAAATAATGAGGAAGATGAATTTTTTCCATCACAAATTTTAGAAATACAAAATAATTTTCATGATATTCAGTCTGTTAATAAAACCCATTTTCCTCAACAGACTTCCAGAATGGCTTTAACAGGACCTAGTAGGTATTATTATTCCTGACCTACACCTCAAGATATTCTATATGAGGAAGACTTCCTTCGTACACAAAGGGCCTACCATGGTAAAACCATTTATGAATGGAATATAGATGGAAAAACAGAATATCAAAATTTTGAAACTGTATATCAAATGTTAATGTATGGTACTATTTGCAAACAGAATGATAATACTGATCATCAGATTACCCACTTTATTAGTAATGGCTTTACCGGGATTCTCTGTGGATGGTGGGATAATGTTCTTACTATCACTCAACATAATGAAATACTTAATTCTTTTAAAATTGAAACTGACCCCATCACTCATCAAGTTCTATACACTCATACAAACTATCTGGTGCCACTTTGTTGGACCTGAAGTAGGTAACAACGATCGTAGTCGCGAGCTTTTCCAGAATCTTCGATGTCCATCTTTAATCCATTTTCGATGGTACAAAGATGTTTTTTAACTTAAGGTTATGCAATGTAGTGATGCCAACAGTGAACATTGGAAGGCTAAATTTGTTGATGGCTTTCCAACCTTTTTGCTGAAAAAAATTCAAAAAAAGCTTAGGGACCGCCATAATGGCATGCAAATTCCTTATGATCAATATACTTATGGTCAACTTATTGGCATTATTATTGAAGAAGGTCTTTTCCTTTGTAATGACCTTAAACTTCAGTATCTTATGAAAAAGCAAAATTTAACAGGCAGGAAAGAATTAGGTAAATTTTGAGACCAATTTGCTTATGACACCAAAATTCAGTATCCTTCTAAATCTAAGAAACAGAGACAATATAAAAGATCTTTTAGGAAACCATATTCCAAAAAGATTAGATCTAATCCCCAACAATCTTATCAAAAGCCTAGACAATCAGCTAAAGGAAAACATAAATCTTATCTAAAGAAAGATAAATCACAAGTCACTTGCTATAAGTGTGGAAAAACAGGACATTATGCGAACAAGTGTGGAGCTAAATTAAAACAGAAATTAAATGAGATGTCATTAGATGAATATCTCCAACAATAGATTTTGCAAACCCTATCTAGTGATGATAATATATCCAATTCAGATGATGATGATCTAGCCGAAATTTATTCCCCATCAGAGTCTAATTCTGACTCGGATACTTCACAACAATGTTTTTGCAAAACCAGTAATGTAAATTCTTTAACCGAGGCCAATTATTGGAAAACTATAGTTGAAATGAATGGTTTAAACTTAGGAGGCCCTAGCCTTAATGTCTTAACTGATGACCATAAATCTATGCTAGAATTAGCAGACCAGATTAAGGATCCAGAAATGAAATTAAAATTTTTAGAGTTATGCTATCACAATCAGAAAACTGAAGAGGTTATTCCTTTAAAGCACAATAGTATGAAAGAAGTTTTGAGTTGGATCCAATCCTCTCCGATTCATGAAAAACCAGTAACTATTCAAGATCTTAAAATGGAAATCAATGTTCTTAAAATAGAAGTAAAACATCTCCACACTGCTAACCAGTCTATTTTTAATGACATCAAGAAAATCAACAGTCAACTTAAAAATAAAGGGCAAACCTTAGAATAGAAGGAAAATCAAGAAAAATCAGAAAATCAGTATTTAATGTTTATGAACCAGATTATTTTCAGAAATGATATGTTAGAATTATTTTTATAATAAAACTTGATTTTATTATCAAAGATGTCATCGCCTTAATTTATAGCGGTGCTGATATGAACTGTATTCAAGAAAGATTAATTCCTATTAAATATTTCCAGAAAACCACTCAATCATTAACTAGTGCAAGTGGTAATTCTATACAAATTAAATACAAAATACCATAAGCTTTCATCTGTAATCAAGGCATATGTCTTCCCACTGCTTTTGTTCTTATCAGAAACATGTCTCAAAGTATTATCTTAGGGACTCCATTTTTGTGCTTATTAATGCCTATTACTTAAATAGATTCTATAGGCATTCACGCAACAATCAGTAATCAATTCATTATTTTTGAATTCATAATAGAACCTTATACTAAAGAATTACATCAAATCAAAGATCTAGTTAATTTTAAAGAAAAAAAATTAATTTTATTCAAATAGAAATTAATTTTCTCACCATTGAGCAAAAATTACAATAGTCATCTCTACAGAACAAAATTAAAATAATTGGTAAAGAATTCCAAACAAAAATTTGTAGTGATATTCCCAATGCTTTCTGGGAAAGAAAGAAACATATAGTTTCTCTTCCTTATGAATCAGACTTTGATGAAAGATTCATCCCAACCAGAGCTCGTCCTAGTCAAATGAAGAAAGAATATTTAGAAATATGCAAAATAGAGATTCAAAATCTTTTCCAAAACAAGTTAATCAGAACTAGTCATTCTCCATGGAGTTGTACAACATTTTATGTCAATAAAAATGCAGAAATAGAAAGAGGTGTGCCAAGGTTAGTTATTAATTA